CCGGTGTGTAATTGAGCGCCGAGTAGGACTGATGTGTCCCTGCTGTAACTCTGATGGGATGTAGCCTCCTGCAGGCAGGAAATAGCCGGAAATGAAGTTATCCTGGCCGGCCTCCTATCGCAAGATTCTTTGCCGTAGCTACTCAGGTTTCACATTTATTTTATCCGCCAGTATGTTTTCTTTTCTGTAGGATACTTAACGACTCTTTTCAGCGGTCAGCATGTCGATACCCCTACGGATTTATAGTTGCTCTTGTAGTAAGTACAGACTTTTTTTCATGCTTATGACAAACGAAATTGGAATTCAATAAAATTTTTCAGCTTTAAAATTCTTCAAATATTTCTTGGAAATATTGGCGCTGTAAGAGCAGAAGGAAAGCTAGGCAACCCTCCCATCAGGAGTTATGGGAAGAAATCGAAATTGAGGAAATGTAGTTCCTATTATTACGAAAGAATTTGGAGCACAGTACTTGGAGCCATCTCTGTTTAAGTACAGAAAGTCACGATAATCATAATGAGAATTAATTTATTCTGGTGACCATCGATGCAACAGTTGATTAAGAAAGCTGATATTAATAAAATGTTATTTATTAGCTACAGTCTAGATGCGCCCATTATGAGGTAATTCATGAATATCATTGAATTGTCAAATTAAAGTGGATCCATTTTTCTTTTTACAATTAGATTGTGCAGTTATTAAAATATTGGCATTAAATTTTGGACTTGTCTTGAAAAATAAAATAAGTGAAGCCGGTGAATAGTTGGAGTTCTGTTAAGTGTTCTAAATAGGTGTGTGTATGTATACTGTAATGTGGGTGGATTTTTAAGGTGGTGGGAAAATTTGTTGTTAGGTGAATGGAGGTATATGCAGATACCTGTTAATGTTTTCATCGCGTCGTTAATGTATCCTCTTGTTGTAGGAGTGTATCCAAAAGAAATGGGTAACATATATACTGTATATGTATTATATGGAGTGTAAATGGTGTGTCATTATGTGGTTGTAGTACTGTTGGTTTTTACTAACATATATCATGGGCACGTGGGGACCTGCAGCTTTGCAACTGTTAACTCAGGCAAGGATGTCCGGTGTGTTGTGTTTGTAGAGTGGTGTGTATCACTAACTCTTTGTTGCGAAGGCGCCAGTTGCTCAGCTGCTAGCTTTCGAAAATTTTATGGAACCCGAAGTTTCATTACCTTCACAAGAGCCTGCCACTGGTCCTTATCCTAAGCCAGATTAATGCAGTCCATACTACCCACTTATATTTTTCTAAGATTCATTTTATTATTTTTCCGCCTACGTCTAGGCGCCCCTATTGGTCTACCAAAACCCTGTATGCAGTCACATCCCCATGTTTGCTACATGCCCTGCCCATCTCATCCTCGACACGATCATTCTAATTGTATTTGGCGAAGAGTACAAGTTATGAAGCTTCCCGTCATGCAGTTTTAGCCAGATTTTTATTTCATCCCTATTTGGTCCAAATATTTTATTAATATCTGTATTATTAGTTTTGTCGACTGTCACAAGAATACCTTAACCCTTTACGTCGCTGTTTATTGTGAGAACCATACACACAAACGCATTCTGTGGGCAAAATGCAGAGTTTTGGTGTGTTAAAGTAATTGGTGCATATTAACCAATGCGCTATTATACAAAACAGGATGCAAACAATAAAGATATCCCTCAAGAAGAGACCAACAGTATCCTTAAAGGGGTTGAGTGTAAGATTGTGGCGGCAAGTCCTTGCAGTGGCCATATGCGCGAAGTCTGAGTTGGTTACCTGTGTCGTTACTCACGGACCGCGTTATGCGGCCTTCATTAAGCTAATCTATGTGCAGCTGTTATCTGCGAGTGGGCATTGCATTATCGGGGCGTCCTCACGTGGCACAGTACACAGCGTTCAGTTGCTGTTGACGCCGTGGTTATGTACGTCGCCTGCCCGGTACTTCTGGTAGACCATTAAGATGTCGGACAGGTTAGTGGTGAGTTACAGTTTCGCTGATGATCTGTTTCCATGGTATGAAGTTGGTAGCGACCTTAGCTGAGACCGTGGAATTTTAATTTTACCCGTTGTGACCCAGAGCACAGAGCAGGGAGAAAGAGAAAAGCAGAACGTGGAGGAAGAAGGGGCGACAAAGAAGAAGGAAGAACTTCAGAATGGGCGAGGAGAAGGAATAAAATGAAAAGAAGGAAAAAGAAGCGGAAATAATGAAAGAATTAAAGAGGAGAAGTTTAAGGAGGAAGAGAGAAACTAAAAGAGAAGTAGAAGAGGAATTTGAAGAACTGAGGAGGGGGAAAGGAGAAGATGAAGAGGAAAAAGAACGGAGAGATGGGAGTATGAAGAGTGGGGGAAGATGAAAGGTCAAAGGAAGACGGATGCAAAGATTGAGATAATGGAGCAAAATCGCTATTCAGTGTGAAAGTGTTAACGTTTCCTTGCCCCGAACTTGGCCCCATGTGTTACGGCGTGGGTACGTTTCCAGTGTCGGCTGTAGACATGTGAAGGAGATGCCAGTAATAAAGCTGCTTGTCCTTGTGTCCATATGGCAAACGGCGTCACAGCGAATAGCAGTGACTAAGGGGTGTGACGCCGCGCAGTCTGGTAGACGGTTATCGACGTTTTAGAGGATCGTGCTGCCACTCTGTTAAGTAAGGAAACAGGTAGGAATCGAGTAGAGGTACTGCGCTTCGTGTTTTTACTCTTCGACCCTGAAGATGGTGACAGTACGTTTCTCCGAAACATCGGTAACTACTACCAGACCGGTGGGTTGTGGACATATTCTGTTGTTGAACTCTCTTAATATGACTGCTGATTGCTGCTTTGTGATTAGCCAAGTCCCTTAATTTGTGATAATTGTAGATGTTAAAATGCTATTTGGTGCTGAAAGAAACCGTTGGCACTGAACCTTAGTACAGTAGGACTCCTGTAGGGATCTGCACATGTTGGATGCATACACTGAGGTGGAGCAGGGGCAGAGCAAGCGCAATAAGCGTGTAAGCGTGTTTGGATAACTCCGAGTACTAGTTCTCAAGTGTAATGACGAAAAGTACTATCTCCGATGGAAGTTAGGCGATATTTCGGAGTAACGTGCTGTTCCCTTAGCATACGTAAACCCTGAAAACAAGACGAAATACACCTCCGAAACGTCAGTACTCTCCATAGCCACCGCTGTGAGAACCTGAGGTCCGACAAGTTCATTGATGTCGGACACCTTGCATGTCTTAGTGTGTTTACTTTTCGTACAGGACACAGATATTGATACAGTGACGTCCCCACAGTTTTTCATCCCCTCAAGACAGTGAAACCGTGCCGCGAAACGTAGAATTAGCCGGTATAACGACGGGGTGGAGGGCCGGGGTTCGATTCCCGGCGGAGGAAAGATTTTTTTTTTTTTAATTCCACAGCACCCAGACCGGTTGTGAGGCCAACTCAGCTTCCTGTCTAGTGGTTACCGGGACTCTTTCCAAGGGGTGAAGTTGACCACACACCTTCATGTAGTGCCGAGAACCTTCATTGCCTGATACGCCTTCATGGCGTAGTGCTTGCTTAATTAACCACAGGGACAACTTTACCTTTTCATTGTTAAGTCCGGATACTCTTTTTAAGTTTAATTTTTAATCGGGATGCGTGGTGGAAGGAGAGGTCGTCCCCCATGCTCGCACTGGCCCCTTTACCATCCCTGTGTGCTTAGGGTTCTGGCCTATCTTCTTCGTGAAGATAACTCAATCTCGAAGTGTGGTTTCAGGAAGGTACTAATCGTGTGGGGCCCTGGTATTGTAATCACTCACAAGGAAGCCCTAGGGCGCTGATGCCGACGCACCTCTAAACACACACAAACGCAACACTCTTCAGTCCGAAACATGTCCTTCTACAAGTATGTACACAAAGAAGTTCTGTAAGCATTGTCATTATAGAGTGTGAGGTTACTACATCATCATTATAACATTGCATATACTTTTAAGTTATGTAGTAGATAAATGGGCCACCAGTATTCTGTTTTGGTGTATCGTGTCTATTCTGCGAGTATTAATAATATTTTGGTATGGATATGTGAAGTGTTGTATACCACATAATGGAAACGGTGTATGGTTCACTCACTGTACTGTTGGTGGTAGACGATGTTAGATGTAGACCTCGACGGATCATTTGATAACACATAGGACGAGAGAGGAATGTGGGAGAAAGTATGAGTCTTCCCTTTGAATTTTCAACGGATATTACACAAATATATTCGTAATCTTAGATAACCATAGCGACAAACTTGAAGTTAAAGTAGACCTGTATTGTCACAGGAAGTCCCAACTTCAGAAATGGCGTATGTAAGGGTCACAGTATTCGTGTGATGCAGTATTGAATTCCGGTAGATAAAAAAGTGTGTGGGGGACAGTGGACTTGTATAATGCTGGTAAGGTGATAAGCTGGTATTGGTAAAAGTTACAGGTGCCATTAAGCGAAGATGGGTCTTCTTCATTTTTAATATGCACAGAGGAGCGTCAGAAATACAGGCTGTATCTTTTGACCTTACAGCTGGTGTGCAGGTGTGAAGTAATGGGGCAGTGGTTGCAGTTATATTGCGGGAGAGAGGGAGGGCGATGCTGTAACTAAGGCCTGTACATAGGCTACAGTTACTGCCTTCATTAGTCAATTGGACCAACTCACTGTGAATCGTTAACAACTCCCAGGTATGAAGAGATGGACTTTAGGCTTCATACGTTCTTGCCTGTATTGTGTAGGGTGTTGGCCCAGTTCATCAATAGTGTTGGCAAAACCTCTCATGTGTGAAGTTGCATCTGTTTGTAGCAGCTGTAATGTTGGAGTAGCTGGCTAATGGAAAATGTGTAAATACCGCGCATAGCCATCTGGGTCTCTTGACAGGAGACCAGGTACTGACGAAACATCATTGGGCGTTTCCGGTAATGCTACTAGAAGCAATAATCACCTGCACAGTGACTGCTATTGGTGTCTTTCTTCACAAACTTTCTGTTTGTTTTGGCTGTAGGTCAGATGCTGCACCAAACCAACAGCAACTGTCACTTCAGAAGAGTGTGAGCCAACCGTCTGTACCTGCGGTTGTGTCGGCTATCGACGAGAGCCATCTGACATCCAGAAGGTACCTGCACCCCTCCACAGCGGCGTCGGGTGAGGAGGAAGGTTTTGTGAGAGGTGGGATACATCGTAGCGCAACACAGCCTCTCACCGAACAAGAATTTCGCGACGTTGATGGAAAAGAAGTAATGAGCGGTGCCAGTATTGCAGAGAGGTTCGTATACATCAGTCGGTGGTGGTGAAAGTAAAGTTATCCCTGTACTTAACTAATTAAGCACCACGCCATGAAGACATGTAGGGGGTTGGAGATATAGCTCAAACATTCTTGTCTTCAGCACTGAATGGATGTGAGTGGACAGCTTCACGCCTTTGCTGCTTTACTTCCGAGGAAAGAGCCTCCTGGTACCCACCCACTGCATAGGTGGGTGGGTGCGCCCCAGAGCCCATAAATTGCTTATTAATAAGCTAAGAAATTTAATGTTCATTGTGTGTTACCGGCACAGATTCCACTTGCCAAAATCTTGTCATGTTCTGCATATCCCTTTCAAATCAGATATGGTACTGTAAATAGTGTTGTGTGGATATATTCTTCAGACATTTTGTTTGAATTTGAATGTGTGTACCCGAGTTACGAGCAAGAATAAAGAATTCGATCAATCATTGTAACAGTTCAGACATAAGCTTTTCTTCTTTCTGTTAAAAGTCTGGATTCATCTAAATTGTATTTAAATCAATAAAAGGATATTTTATGTCATACTGTTCTACTGACATGGCAATATGAAAATATAACAGTTTATTTATTCCTCCATATTCTTAGAGGAAAACTGTATACTTAAGCGTGAGATATTTTCTGTACTGTAAAATTACGAGAAATTGATATCTGAGACTAATTTACTTATCCATCTTTTTTAATCTACCGATCTTCAAAGTGGATAAGAAGTATATTGTTACATGTTGGGTATGTCACGCGACAGATAACTTCATGTGGGTCTCGGCTTTAGTGAAACTATTGGACACTCACACTTACACACCTTACAAGTATTATCGCTTCTGGCCCAGTACTCTAATGCGACGTCTCAACTATCCTTGACCATGGTTGGATCTCAGCTGTCTCTGGCGGCGGCTACCCCAAGATTGTCTCATTCTCAATACTCAATACTCAATACTCTAACATTCCAATGCTCTGTACGTCCAAGTCCAAGCGGACCGGATACTGGATACCATTCCTCAAGGTTCCATTACCGCTCTTCAGACAGTCCGTTGTTATGGGAACGCTCTTTATAGATTACACCGGTAACGTGTTTTGTCTCGTCCGTTGTTACTCAACGACAATTCGTTGCTACGATTTGTCGCTGTGGGAACTCCACAATTTCAATGTATTCGTTGTCATGGAAGTGTCCGTTCCGATTGTAGCGGTTGTGCGGTGATGGATGCAAGGTAACACGTCACGATATAAAGCATGTCTACTTTAGGTAGGACTCCATTAAAATGAGCACGTTGGTGTTGCGGTAGTGCTGTAGGCTTATGTTGTGTTTGAATCTTGGTGGGGACAGCAGTTGTCTTTGCTTAGGATTTTCATAGTTCTCATCAGTTCTCTTAAGTCAAAAACCAAGATGATAACTTGATTAAGCCAAGATTTCCTTCATCCCAAATCCCTTTCATTTTGTCATTAATCACCCATCCTGCCATCTGGTGCTTGTATAGTCTCTTGACACTGAACAACCAATAGAAAACGAACTCTTATTATGTAAGGTTCTGCCTGTGGGGTATGGGTGACCTCTATTTACAATGTTTCTTAAACTTCCCATATAAGGCAGATATAAAGTGATCTCTTCTGACAGAGGCTTCTGGGTTTCCATGTTCAGATATATTGGTGTTATATACCATACTGACTAGCTTCATGGAGCTGAGCTTCTTGCCACCAGTCGCCCAACACTTTAACATGAAGTTTCATTACCATGTTCCTCCACTGGGCCCTGTTCATGCCACCCAGTCATATTTATGCAAGATCAATTTTATTATTATCGTTCCACCTATGACAGGGTCTTCCTGTTGGTCCCTTTCATCAGGCCTTCTCACCAAAACCCTTCCTCCAGGTTTTCCCCCATATATGCTACATGCCCTGTCCATGTCAGTGTCCTTAACTTGATCATTCTAATTACACTTGGCGAAGAGTGCAAGTTATGAAGCTCCACATTATGCAGTTTCCTCCAACCTCCAGTTGCTTCATCCCTCATCAGTCCAAATATTCTCAGCGTGCTCTTCTGAGACTCTGTGTTATTCCCTTAAGGTCAGAGACCAGTTTTAGACCCATTCAAAACTATAGGCAGGATTATAGTTCTGTGTATTTTAATTTTTGCCTTTTTAGAAAACAGACAAGAATACAGAAGTTTCCGAACTGAATGGTAGAAAGCATTACCCAAATTCAATCTGCTCTTAATTTTCTCCTGAATCAGATTTGGATATATTACTATCATTACAAAATATTTGAACTTAGCCATATTTTCAGAGGATCTGTGTCTTTATGTCATGATTCTGGCCTCAATTCTGGTGAGGAGACATCAACACATACTTTGTGTGTGCCTCTAGACCAACCTCCTTACTAGCACTAATTAGAGCTTCTGTGTTTCTTATGGTATTTATGTTATCTGAAAGTAGATTCACATCATCAGCACAGAGGGTCTTTTGTGTACCGTAATAAACTTAGTTAAAGACCAGGGACTGCATAACAGTAGAATTGTGAAGTTGCTCAGCGCCCTGAACTTGAATTGTTCCAGTGAAGTTCCCTTTTGTTACAGATTAGCTGCACTTCAGAAGAGTGGTCATACAGACTGGAAAAAGCGTGTGTTAAAGCTGAACCCAGAAGATGACCTTACGGTCATCTGTAGCACAGCTGAAATCAACCATCATCATATCAACCATGTAAGTGTTTCCTTTGACAGTTAAACTCTTTGGGTGGTAAGTGTATACATGAAATGTTAAAGATTAAACTTTTCTCACTAAAAAGTAGGCCAGTTTAACATGAGTGCTGCAGAGTTGCGGCTGCTTACCTCTGTATTCATGAGAGGCCCTCTGATGACTACAAATAGTCTAATAATTGATTTTGCTACCCAGTTAATGATTTAAGATAGTCTGCACGGGATAGCGCAGTCAGTATAGTGACTGGCTACAGGCTGGGCGACCGAGGGGTAGTCCCGGTAGGGCTAAGAATTTTCGATTGTCTGTGTCGTCCAGACCGGCTCTGGGGCCCACCCAGCCTCCTATCCAGTGGATATCGGGGGCTCCTTCCCAAGGCATCAAGCTGACCACTCACCTACAAGCAGTGCCGAGGTGAAGAAAATGTGAATTTATACGTCCTCTCCCCCACATGCCTTCGTGGCATAGTGCTTAATTAGTTAAGCACAGGGATAACTTTACCTTTTTTTACTGCATACACTGGTGTTCACGAACCAAGATACCACGCGTGAAATACAAATCACTGCAAAAAAAAAGGGGAGGGACAGGCAAGAACACTGTAGCACACTTTACGCATTTTAAAATTGTGTCAGATGTTGAATTATTTTGACAAGAACCAATTCTGCTTTTTAAAATTATAACTTTTCTAAACACACAGCCCTCACAGGCTTATATGTATAACCTTAGTTGCCCATTCTGATTTTTAACCCTATTGGCTGATTATGAGGTCAGCTTTATGTAAGGTTATAAATAACCTTTTTTTGTGCACTGGAATTTCATAAAGGACTGATATCATTTTGTTAAAGTTTGATTTACAGGGTCTTTGCTTGAAATTAGTTGGATTTTCTGATTCTCTATTCATATTGACTAATTACAGGGCCATCCTTAAATAAGCTCATAAATAAACCTTTTCATGTATAGCATGAAGCATTACTCACATTTTGGTGGAACTTTATATGAGAGGTCATTCCATAATGCCAGTTGATTTTTTGGCTGTATTGACTGATTACAAAGCCTATTTTATGTAAGACCATAAATGAACTTTTCTGTATATCACATAAGCCATATATTAGACTTTGTTGATGTTTGGTATTGTGCTATTGAAATATGAATATTGATTGGTTTAGCTGATAAATTTTAAGTTATACTGAAATACCATTTATAAACCAATAACAAGACATTATTGGAAATAACTATAAATTAATTTGTGACTGACCAGGATAATGTTAGCTGTTTGGTAACATCAGAAGACTGACAGTTGAGTTGTCATGGGCACTATAGTGTGAATACCTTGTACAGCCAAAATGAGGTACAGACATGTCTCAATATTCGTGAAGGTATGTTCCGGAGATCGCAGATAGCAGAATTCATGTCTGAGGTCATAGATTCTGTACAGGCTCATTCACTCAGAGGAGGCTCTAGGTTAATAATTATAAATCATGTAGGAATTTACCCGATGAAAATGAAGCTTAGCATGTATGTGCCTTGGCAGATGTTGAGATAATTGGGTTATAAGTGAAGGTAAACGTAAAAGGTAAAGTTATCCCTGTAGTTAACTAATTAAGCACTACACCATGAGGGTGTAAGGGGGAATGGATATATAGATCCACATTTATTGACCAGGGCACTAGTTGGAGGTGAGTGGTCAGCTTCACGCCCCTGTCACTTTACCCCCGGGGAAAGAGCCCCATGTACCCATTGGATAGGAGGCTGGGTGGGCCCCTGAGCTGGTCTGGACAACATGAAGAGAAATTTCTTGACTCCGAGCCTTCAGTCATTCAGCCTGTAGCCAGTCGCTATACCTGAAGACGCAGGCCAGCTCAGTGCTTCAGATTCAACTGTCGCAGCCGGCTTGGCATGAGATTGCAGCAGTTTTGTAGATAATGCTACTTTTCAGATTATCAGCAGAGCCAGATTTGTGTTTGAACACTAAAAGTACACACTGACGCCAGATTTATTTTTCATGGATAAATCATTGCATGGTGTATCATTGTTAATTCAAGGTCTCCTTCAAGTGAATCAACCTCTCTGTATGATGTTGACAAATTATGTATTACTACTTTCTCTTTTCACACATTAAGATACTTTCACTTACATTGCTAACATTATTTGTTTTCCTTCTGGGGTGGGCTTGAACGTGCAGAAAATGATTAGAAGTTCTCAGTAGAACTAATGACCTACATTTATTTTACAACAATTTTTCTTTCAATGGCTTTTCCAACCTATTCAGGGCCCAGGCCTCTTATTCAGGTCCATAATCGTTTTTCACAGAGGGTAGGACTCCTTGGATGAGTGATCAGCCCATCACAAGGCCTCTACCTAAACACAGGACAACACATACAGAATATATGCATACACACACCAATCATCCATACCTTGAGTGGGATTCAAAACTATGATCCCAGCGTCTGAGCGAGCGCCCGGCTGCTGTAACCTGCACTACAATTTGGGTATCTGATACAAACAGGGGAAACTCCTGTATGTGTATGTAATCATGTTGTTGAAACAATATTATATACAACAGTGACAGGCTGCAGTATTAGTAATACTGATTGGGGGGGGGGGNGTTAAGAAATATGAAATACAGAAGTGGCAGGCTGCAAGATTAAGAATACGTGATGGGGGGGGGGGGATTTATGAAGTATGCTGTTCAGATTATGTCAGGTGGCATAATATACACACTAGTGTCATGACGATTGGTTCAGACATTCAAGTAATATTGAGGATATTGCCTCAATGATTTGAGACGCTGTGATATTGGTATTACTGATGGGAGGGATTCATGAATTGTGCAGCTGAGATGGCCTTAACATGGCATGATATGCTTACCAAGTTTTCGGTCTGTGGCATATACACAGGTGTCGTCAGAAAAGCGACCTAGGTAAACACCAAGTGTTTGGGGCGTATCATTTATATATCGACTGAACAGTGTGGGGGAGAGAACAGAACCTTGTGACACTCCTGCTTGTATATCCCTTGGCGTAGACATTTCACCTTCAACTGAAACTCTGAAATTTCTCAGAGAGTTAAAAGAGCTGGTAAGCTTGATTAGACTTATCGAAAATTGTAATGTAGATAATTTATATAGCAAGCCAGTGTGCCATGTTGCATCAAAGGCTTTGTCAATATCCAAGAATACAGCAGCTGTAGACATGTTTTTGTTGAAATTTAAGGTTACATGGTCCGTAAGCCTCGTACATTGAAGTGTCATGCTATGACAGGCACAGAAAACAAACTGGCTTGCATTAAGCAGGCCTTTTTCTTCAATGTGCTTTTGGACTATTTTCAGGATAACTTTTTCGAATAGCATGCCTGTTGTAGACAAGAGGCTAATCGGGCATAAATTTTGAGGAAATTTGGCTCCTTACCAGATTTCAGTAACGTTGTAAGTTTTGCCTCCTTCCAAGGGTTTGGAAAATGGGACGGCCGAAGGCAGTGATTAAATATACGTGTGAAATGTACCAGTGGTCTTCTTGGAAGATTCCTAAGGCATTCGTTTGGAATACCATCAAGTCCACAAGCCTTTCGCAATTTTAATGTATTTGTTAATTTATGTATGTCACAAGGTTGTACTTTCCCCGACAGAGTGCTGTCTGCAGATGCAAGCAGATGTGAATTGGTTTTCTAAACAATCCAATATCACATTGGCTGCACTAACTGTCAAAGCCACATTGTGACTGACGGTTAGTCAGTAAGTCTTGGTGTCGAACCCCATCGGGCTCATGACCAGTTATTTATTACTTTTTGATAGTTATGGTCTTGTTTTTTGTGGGCTGCCCTCTTTGACTAGAGGGCTGGTCTGTCTTATGTATATACCAGCACAGCCTTTCTTGGGTCGTAGTCCCTTGTGACTAGCGACCATGTTTTATTGTCTCAGATTTAAGATCTCCCTTTTTGTTGCCTCCTACGACTCACAGTGTCACAGTGGAGGTATTCGACCCCACCTCCACATGGTTTGCACCAACTGTACTCTTGTCGGTCACTTGATATAGCCTTGGAGCGGGCTACACAGAAAAACACCACCTCCAGTGGAAGATGAATGTGATACAGAGGTTTAGACAGTAGTGAATCATTCCATACATGTGGAATAAGAATCAGTGGTCATTGACATGTCACAATTAGACAGGATGACTTGCATTTTAAGTTTGCTACTTGACACTGTCAGTATCAGGACTGTATATAGGGTCAGTGGTAGGAGGAGCAATGAATAAGGAGGAGTTAAAACTGAATTTCCATAATACTTTTAAGAAAGTGTAAGGAAGAAGAATTCCGCTGTTTTTTCGAAATGTAACCTACCGAAAAATGAACTCTAGTTTAAGATTGGGTGTACTATAGAAATGCTAGTAGGGTCAGGCTGTTAATGGTTTTCCTCGCCCCTCTTGTTACTCTCCGGATTCATTATTAATAATTAGCCTGCAATACGTTATTTGACGCTAACTAACCTCGGCAGACGAAACAGCATTCTAAATGGCCTACCATCCAAAGTACAGAAAGATGCATATGCAAAATGATTTCAGAGGATGTTTGAGAAGAGGCAGGTTTATATTTCTATAAGATATACTAAGCATACAAGTTACAGCCATTTTAGGTGTAATCTTCGGTTTTAAAAAGCCTGTATGAGTATTTGTGCGTGCGTGCCAGCTGATTTGGGGAAGACGTTGAAAAAAGTAACACAGCTGATATCTTCTGTTGTTAGCCTATCTTCCTTATTTTTAAAAAATAAAATTAGGTCTATGAGATCGGCTCTCTCTGTGTGTCTATATGTGTCTTTCCTCCCATCATCATTTGAAATGACGGAACCAATCTTTATCAAGCTTAGTATGTATATAATGGAACTTAAGCCCATCTCAACGGCATACTTCATAAATCCCTTGCATCAGTCTGTGTGTCTGTGTATTCCCTCCTTTTGGTTGCTAGGCAGCAGTGGTCTCACGATCTAAGGCATGAAATGTTTTCGCCCACTTGAG